CGATTGACGCTGGATTAATGGTTTTCGATGAGTCGACGCCGTCTCCCCAAAATTTCTCACTTCCCCTCATTTCGCTTCGAAGTCAAAAGCCCTAATTCGAAAATCCCCTATTCTTAAGGTACGGATCCGATCTCTCTTGCTCATACTTCGACAATGTTTTTTTTTGCTCTTTTGATCGTCGATTTTTTTTCTTCTCGTTTTCTGCGTTTATTTGTTGATATGTTGTTGATCTTCGCGTTTGGGTCGTCACTTCATAATCTGTAGAATTCAGAGTTCGTTTTGGAAGATCTAGCAGTGTAAATCGTCTGTAATAGTCTCTTTTTTGGGTGCTTGGATTGATTTGTTAGAGATGATTGTTGTTGTTTCTCTTAAATGCAAGATTGTTGCAGCGTTATTGAGTTTTAGTTCGTGTTCTTATGTGTATTGATCACTGGTTTTGTGAAATCTAGATTCAAATTTGATAAAGTCTATTTGTTGGCTTTGTCTTGTTTTTGATCACTGGTTTCGCTTGGTTTCAATTTAACATGACTGATTTTGATGTCTTTTTTTTTCCAGAAAATTAACATGATTGGTTTCAATTTCATTCTTTCTATGGTCACTGAGCTTTTGATGATTTGGGGTTTGTAAAGCATGGTTTTCGCCAAATGATTGATTGTTCATAATCAATGCTATAACTGATTATTAGATGCTTCTACTCATTAATTGCTTCATCTAAATGTTGTCGTAGCAAGATCTTTGTTCTTGAAATTTTTCTTGAAGCTAGAATTTGGTTTCATGATTGTCTTGCATTGCATTTCTTGTCTGACTAGATTAATAGAATATAATTGTCTCTAATCAATGTTTGTGCTTCTGTTCTGTGTTTGTGTTGCATACTTCTTAAGTTTTTTTGATCATTGTTCCCTAAGTTCTGTAATTGACATGATTATAACTCTTTGGTCAATAGGATGAAGCAGGAGATGAGATCAAGGAGGCAGAACCAAAGGTCTTGTGCAAGTGTCATTCTTGTTTCACTGTCTTGTCCAAACCAAAGCATAGTTAATTCACATTCTTGTACTCTTTGATTAATAAACGAGTAAAAGAAAACATGTGCAACCAAGAGTTGTTTCTTTTTGTGAATATGTATTGTAAAACCATGTATTGTTTTTACCAAAAAAAAAACCATGTATTGTTTTACAAAATTTGAATTTTTTCTTAGAGAACCCCATTAGTAGTTTTAACCATTGGAGGTCACAAAACTTAAGAGTTCCTATGCAAGTTTTAAGTTTGAAAAAAGCTAAAATTTATTCTTATAAAATGCAGAGAACCCATGATGGAGTTGTAACCATTGGAGATGCTCTAAGATCCTCGCTCAAAGACTCAAGTCTCATCTTCCGGAGGCGATTGAAATGAACCAGAGTGCTTTTGTTAAAGGTCGTCTCTTGCTGGAGAATGTTCTATTGGCTACAGAATTAGTAAAAGACTATCATAAGGAGTCCATTTCCTCTCGTTCCACGTTGAAGCTGGACATATCTAAGGCTTTCGATACGGTGCAATGGCCTTTTATTATTGCAACGTTGAGAGCTATGCAATACCCGGATCAGTTCATCTTTTGGATATCCCAATGTTTCTCTACTGCGTCCTTTCCAGTTTCTATAAATGTTGAACTAGAGGGGTTCTTCCAAAGTTTTCGAGGCCTTCGACAAGGCTGTTCACTATCCCCGTATTTGTATGTGATCGCTAGCAACGTCCTCTCGGGACTACTAGCAAAAGCTTCCCGTGACAAAAGTATCTGGATACATCCGAAGTGTCAGGCTTTAAATATGTCCCATTTAAGTTTTGCTGATGATATTATGGTATTCACGGATGGGTCGCTGCAGTCACTTCAGGGAACTCTTATGGTGTTTGATGAGTTTGCTCAAATGTCTGGTCTCACTATTAATGTGACTAAATATTCTCTCTTTGCTGCGGGTAAAGGGAAACGCCAATTAGAAACTGAGGCTTCCAATGTTGGCTTGGCGGTTTGTGAGCTTCCTGCCCGTTACTTAGGACTCCCGCTCACTACCAAATCTATGACAAGGCCAGATTATGAGCCATTATTGGAGAAGATTCGGAATAGACTGTCTCATTGGACTACACGGCACCTATCCTATGCGGGAAGACTACAGCTAATAAAATCAGTGATAGCAAGCATCACCAACTTCTGGTCCTCGGTTTTCTGCCTTCCCAAACGGTGTTTCAAAGAAATAGAAGGTATGTGTTCTGCGTTTCTCTGGAGTGGATCTCCTAACAATCATAACAGGTCTAAAGTTGCTTGGAAGGATGTATGTATCCCGTTAAAAGAAGGAGGGTTGGGGATACGGAGATTACATGAGGTTTCTCGGGTTTTTGGGCTTCATTTGGTTTGGAAAATAGTCTCTGGCTCGAACTCCTTGTGGGTGTCCTGGGTCCGTCACTATTTGATCCGTCAAGGTACTTTCTGGGATGTGAAGGAGACTACCTTAGGCTCTTGGCAATGGCGTAAACTTTTAAAGCTTCGGCCTATAGCTGCAGAGTTCATACTGAATGAAATTCGGAACGGCCAAAAAACTTTTTTCTGGCTTGATAAATGGCTTTCTATGGGGCGTTTGATGGACATTGTAGGGGAAGGTGGTATATGTTCTCTTGGTGTGCAGCGGTTTGCCACATTCTCGGATGCAATTACAGAGTCCTCGTGGAACTTTAGAAGGTGTCGGGACAGAAAGTGTGAGGAGATCAAGCAGCACATCTATGGCTTACCAACTCCGATCCCGGGATCCGGAGACGATGTGGTCCTTTGGCGCCATTTGCATAATGAATACCGTTCAACGTTTTCAGCACCACATACATGGGAACAGATTCGCACCCGTAGTGATACCAAGGCATGGAGCAAAGTAGTCTGGTTTTCACAAGGAGTTCCCCTGTTTGCATTCATCTCATGGCTAGCCATAAAAGATAGGCTATCAACAGGAGCTCGGACAGGACAATGGGGACACGCTCAGCCTTGTCTATTCTGCGCGGAGCCCGTTGAGTCGCGCGACCATCTGTTCTTTTCTTGTCCTTACTCATTCATGGTATGGATAAAAGTTACCGGCAGCTTGATTGAACCGGCGCCTGACCCGGATGGGACTGCAACGCTAAACTACTTTACGACGCACTCATCGGAAGGTAATACGCATATCCTTCTAAGGCTAGCTTTCTAGGCAACAATATATTATCTCTGGAAGGAACGTAATGAGAGGAAGCACAATCTACGCTATCGCTCTCATGACCAACTTGCTCGACTCATTGAGAAAACAATCAAAGCCCGTATAGTGTCTCTACGTTATTTTGAATCTACGAAGTTACAAGGCATGCTGAAAGCTTGGTTCAGAACAAGGATAAGCCTTTAAGTGTCATGCCCTGTTTTTGATCGTTTTGGCTCTGTTTTGGACTGTTGTAGGTCCTCTGTTTTTGCTCTACTTTTGGTCGATTCTTAGGCAAATAGTCTTTGATCAAACTCATTTGTATATAGTTTATATTTCTTAATCAATTTCACATTTCATCATTAAAAAAATGTAGAATATTTTATGTATTTAGTTTAAAATAATTTATATACCTCTTGCTTCTATATATTGTCATTTTTTCTCCTTTCTAGAAATATGTATTTATATAAAATTCATAAATTATATATATACCTCTTGTTGAAATAAAAAAAAAGGTAGTTACGCAATCTCGCCAAAAAAATCATTCCACAACTTGTTAAGAAAATGTTTTACATGCAAACGGTCAAACCGTCAACTTATTTAAAGTCATTTACAAATCTACCATCTATTTTACCATTAAAAACATGTTTTTACACCAAATCATATTTTACTGTTTAACTATGCTCTTTACCACCATCTACAAAATATTTCTATAAACACAGTAAGCCAACTATATGTCTTTTTATTTGCGTCCAAGTATATATCTCTTTACTTTCACATTTGCATAGTTTCTTTACCACTAAAATTGTTGACACATAAAAAATTTTGAATGAAAAATGGATAAATCTTAGGTTCACCCCTAGGGGTGAATCCCTTTGTTCACCTCCTTTTTTATTAGCCAACAAGATTATGCCATATAGGATTGTATTTAAACAAAAATAGTTAACTAAAATTTAATTAAGAAAAACAAAAATGTTTTGATTAGTATGATCTATCTTTAAACACTATTAAATATCGCTCTAATTTTTAACTGTTTTGCATGATCCTCTATCTACATGTCTGTATTGCTGCATTTTTCTTTTCAAAAAAAGCATATATGACATTCTTGGAAAGTCGGCCATTTCATACCCAACCTAAACAGCAATGTTCAATTCATGCATGATAGTTTATTCTGTACCAATACATACCTAACCTTTTAAAAATTTCAAATTTCATACCCGAACTTATCAAATCGTGCGAAATCACACATATCTTGTCTCTAATGCTGATATGGATGCCACGCCGTCGATGACGTTGATGACGTGGTTGCCACGTCTTTCATGATGTCGTTCACACGTCATCATCATTTTAAACAAAAATAAAAATTAGACAAATATATAAATATATATATATATATATATGTAAATTTCATTGTTAAGCGAATATAATGTGTCCGTATTTGCTATCATTATTACTTACCGAGATTTGAAACTCTCGACATCTGTTTTATCGTGTTTCTCGATACATAGATGATGCGTATAGGTAATCATCATCTGTCCCTTTTGTGTTTCTATTTATTTTATTCTTATACGATAATGATTTTATAGGATTAACTATATTGTTTTCTAATATTATTTTTAAAAATATTAAAAATAAGTAAAATAATTCCCTGTTTGTAAAGATATCTCATATCTAATAAGATTACGATTTGACGTTGTCTATAGTGTCTTTTACAGTTTTCATGATGATGAATGTATTATCCACTTGCTTCTCGATCTTCCGTTTCAATTTTATTATACCCTCTCTTTTATTTTTTTTATTAGTCTCACTATCTTAGGTATGGAAAACAAAAAAATTCTGAGAATACATCACAAAAAAAAAGAAAAAAAAAAGAAGAGGAAGAGATGGAGAACTTCCATGGTCTTACGTTGATCAATCCATCGATCACCGGATGACATATCCGCATTAAGGTGGTGAGTTCGTTCACCGTGCATCTTGCCCCACCACATAAAGCTTTAGGGTTGATCTTAGCAGACGAAGAGGTGTTTGTTTAATGTGATCTCTTGATTTTTTCTTTATCTATATGTTTTGTCTAAATCTTTAGCAGTAATAAGTGATCTACTTTTTATTTTGAAAAGGAAATGATGATTGAGGCTGTGGTTGGGGCCAAATTCGCTAACTTTTATGATGAGTATATTGATGAGGAAGAATGGTTAACAATCAACCATTTTGGTGTGGCTTTTAGCTCAAGCACTTTGAAGGTAACCTCGCATCCGTATAAGATTCGCTTTCTCAAGTACACTGTTGTGAGGAGAATTATCGATTTTCCGATCACTCTCCGTCGTTTTGCGTCATTCTCCGATATTATCGGTAACGTAATCGATACATCTGCTTTATACATCTGATACATCGATACATCTAGGTAAGCATATATTTCTAATTTTTGGTAGTTATATATTGTGGTTGTGTTGTGCATGTTGTCTTAAGATTTCGTTACACTGTTCCTTTTTTTTTTAGACTTGGTCTGAGCGATTTTCGATGTTGGAGTGTTGGAGAATGTTGCTTCTAATCCTAATGATGTAAATGGTATGAGGATCTCGTTCAAAGTCAGAGACAAAGAGTGAGTAAATGTTTATGTATATAGAGATTTGTACCATTTAATGAATAATTACTTAATTTCTTATCATGATTTGTTGATGTAGTAATGAGGTATTGGAATGTTTGGCTCTGAAGCAAGAGCCTCTAGATTTCGATCATACTTATTATTTGTTCGGTGGTGGAGTTATTGTTGCGTTACTCAGGCGGTGGAAAGTCGATCGTTACTTCGATGGCCCTAAGAATGTAAGGATATGTAGTAGTTACATAAGTTACATAAGTTGTAAGTTATTTGTGAGATGTAAGTTACATAAGTTGTGAAACTCTTCGTTTGCAACTTTTATTTTTTGAGTCATATTTATTGAACTAACTGTCGGGCCATTTATTTTGTTGTTTACTTAGGCTCGCTATAAACGATGTTTGAAGGTCCCGTTGATTGGCGATCTATGTTTATTATCGTTATTTATGGATATAACCTGCTAGCAAGAACGTTTCGTATCGTTTTTGAATCATTTTGTCGTGACGACAGCTTTAAACGTCACATTATCTACTTCTTATTATTTGTTTTCTTAAGACATTTTTTGTTTTGGATAATCTTATTTTGGTTTGTATATGTATCTACGCATGGTTTGCCATTGTTATTGTTATTTTTTTGCTCGCATTAAAAATATGACAACCATCGTCTACAATTCGGGATACTAATATGATATGCATAAATATATTTATTTATATATTGCCAAGCTATGGTATTATCTAGCATAATGACAACCATTGTCTACAATTTAGGATACTAATATGATATGCATCAATATATTTATTTACATATTGCCAAGTTACGGTATTATCTAGCAATAATGCAATTCTTATTATGTGTATAAATTCTATCTATAATTGTTAGACCTGAATAATATACGTGCATATTAAATAGAAAAAAATGGATACCGAAGGAATGGAATATTTTCTCGATCTTTCGTTGTTGAAACCGTCGATCACCGGGTGGTTTATCTGTGTGAGGGTTCAAAAATCTTTTGTATACCGCTCACTGCAACGTTAAAGAGTGACTTTAATTTTTTCAGACAAATATGTAAGTGTTTATTATGTTTGTGTCTATATGTTTTTTATGAGACATATAGTTAGATTAATATGTTCATATACACATGTTGTAGATGGACGTGGTAAAGAAAGTACTTTCATGATAAAATATGATTGGATGTAAAAAACACATTTTCAATAATAAAATAGATAGTAAATTTTTAACTGTATGTTAATAAGATGACGGTTTGACCGGTAGTTTGCGTCTAAAACATTTTGTGAAAACCACATTTTTTGAGATTTGGCAATAATAAAAATGATGAATATTAGAAAACATTTTGGTAATTGATTATAATTTAAATTATTGTAACAAATGTTACAATAATTATAATATATATATATATATATATATATATATACAAATTATATTAGTTGTATTAAAGAATAAAAAAATGAATATATAAATAACTTTTTTCTAAATGAAAACTTCTCTATTTGTTTCTAAAGATAGTTTCAGCTTACAACAAAATTTCAATATATATTTTCGTTAAGTTTAATTTTATTTAAAAAATTGAAACCCGGACATTGGACGTGTCCTAATCTAGTATTATATAAAAACTAAAAAGTCAAAAACACCGAATCGAAACCGGAATATTTTTAGTAAAGGTGACCAAACGGATTTTCAAGAAAACCAAAACCGAACCGAATCACCTGGTTACAATTCAGTTCGGTTTGGTTTTTTTGGGAAAGGTTATTATGCCGACCCATACAGAGAACCCATAACAAGATAAGCATGTGAAAAGCGGAGACTAAAACGAAGCATATTCACCAAATCAAGTGACGCTAAAGACAAAGAGAAAGAGAGGAGAGAAGCATATAGGTAGAGGTTGGGTTAAAGTCTTAAAGACAGGTACCACTTGGGGCTACCTCTTTAATGGATCCCTTTCGGCCAATAAATTGGGGAGTGGAGCATTGACCACTGTGCATCTGCTCTACCAAATTAATTTGTTGATTAGTTATACATTGTGGTCTTTGTCCAAAAAAAAAAAAAAAGTTATACATTGTGGTCCATGTTTTATGGGTTATAGTTAGTTTTTTTTTTTTTTTTTTTTTTTTCACTACAAGAAAATGATTTTATTATGACGAAATATATAGTCATAATAATAAGTTTTTCGTCACAATAAAAATATTGTTACGAATCAGTAACGATTTGTGAATGGTTGCAATAAAAGTGTCACAAACGTTTTTTTGTAACTAAAACGTCACAGCCATTGTGACGTTTAAAGAGAGTTGCAATTTGGTCACCAAATGTAACGATCCATAAACGTATTAAAATTGTCTCAGTTACTTACCAAATTTCGTGTCCCAAAAACGTCATAGTGTGCGACTGATACTACGTCTCAGTTTCGTCACTAATTACGACAAAACTATAGTCTCAAAAACGTCGCATTTAGTTACTTATAAAATGTCACTTGTTCGTCACAATTACCAACTAAAAAACTGTCTCAGGACCGTCATATTTTTTCATTTATTATGACAAATTTTTTGGTCATAAACCGTCACAAATAAAGACTAAAAACTCGTCACCAGTTAGTCACAAATACCAACTACAAATATTGTTGCAAAACCGTCATATTGTGTGACTGTCATAACGTTTTAATTATGTCACTCATTACGACAAAAATATAGTCTCAAACCGTCACATACGATGACCAAAAAATTGTTGCCAATCGGTAGGAAATACCAACTAAATATGGTCTCAAAACCGTTATGTTTTGTTACTGTTATTACGTTCTAAATTTTCACTCATTAAGACGGAATTAAAATTGTCAAAATTTTCACAATTAATTACAAAAGAAAATGTCTTCTACTATCAGGATTTGGTACTATTTTTTATTTATGACTTGTAAAAATAATTTGGACGAAAAAAAGACTTGTAAAAATAATTATATTATTACATAATTAAAGTAAATAAATAGAAATTGAACTAAAATCCAAATCAAATAACGTGATGTGAAATAGAAATAAAAGCCAAAGCCAAAGTATTATGAAGAAACGAAACAAAACCCTATTAAAAAGCATAGCAAATTCAATCAAGGAGCAACTCCAACGGAACTTGTGGAAATGTAGATGTCTTCAATTGTCTGGAGACGTTTCTCGAGGAGTAAATTCTCATCACGACTCTTCCTCAATTCATTTTCAAGTTCTTCAACTCGGTGGGCTAACGTTCCCACTCCTTCTTCCATAGGCTGTGAGGGAACTGATGAACCATCCAAAAGCATAGAAACCCCATTTTGAAGTGATCCAAGTCCAAATACACGACCTTGTTTTGACATTCCAACAATCTATAAAAAATACAAGTACATAAACAATGAGATGTATTTTAACTCAATATAAAATATCTAAATATGCATAATTTAATCTATAAAAGTACCTTAACATAGATTTCATTTTCTCCTCTAGGCTGAGACTAGCTATTGTCAAAACTTCTCCATTGGAAGACTCCATTTGTGACAAGCGCTCTTGCACATGTTCATCAAATTTTTCTGCAATTAGCCGTGCTTTTTCATCAACATACGTACCGTCAGATTTTTGGTGTGTTTTTTTCATCACAGCAATAAAGGAAGAGTCTTCATTGTTTGCCTCCTATAAGCAAAGCATTATACAATGTAAGAAATACTGCAAATCTTAAAAAAAACATAAATGTTATCAAAATTTTAAAAAGAAAATATATAAACATTACCAAAACGTCTTGCACTTTAGCATAAAAACGTCTAGAATATTGTATTCTTCTCCATGAGAAATCCAAACCCAATAATTAGGCATAAACCCTCTATTATATAAATGTCTGGACACGATCTCTTCGGACAATAATGGTAAGCCATTCTCGCATTTGAAACATGGACAAAAGAGTTTGCCTTTCTCGAGAAATAAAGCTTGATTTTTTGCAAATCTCATAAAATTTTCCAATCCTTGGCAAAATTCTTTTGATACTTCATTAGTTGTGTGATCGATTCTTTCATCATACATCCAACTTCTTGCAGCATAATTATTGTTATTTGACGACATCAAATTCGACCTGAAATATTAAAAAATATATCTCAGAAACTTATTCAAATTCAATCTAAAATAACTAGTGTAAAAGTATAAGATTACGATGGTAGTATCTAAAAGTATCTACGATTATATGGACACAAGCAAAGTCAAACAGCAGAGTGGCTCGTATCTATGTTGAAGCCAAAACAGAAGTCTATCACTCGCAAAAGAATAAAGAACCTTGGATTCAATTAAAAATTCATTCGTGAATCATATGTGATGATCCACTAACAAAGTCAAACAGCAAAACCTTGAATTAAATAACTTGAATGAGAACGAACTTACTTTCTTGTATATGAGTTTTCTGTTCGTTAATTGCTCTCGTCCACAAAGCACTATATATATGTTTATTAAACTTTCTGTTCTTATCGTCAATATATAATATATATAGATATATTCTATTTTTTTTTTATTATCTGCTCTGCCTATATTTTTCTTCCCTAAAAAAATTCTTGATTTATTTTCCATTTTTCCCAAAGTATTTTTCAACCCTAACTCCAATTTTTCCAATTGAAACTAAACAAAAAAATAATGGAAAAGAATGAAAAATTAAATACCTTCTTTCACGTTTTATAGAATAAAAGCTTGTGGAAGCATCCGTTTCACGTTTATATAGAATCTTCCCCAATTTTTTATTCATCCTTTTTTATGCGATATCCTATACTATCAAGGTATGTATGTTCTTCAATTAGTGTGATTTCCTCTAGATGTGAATTAAAGGTTTAGCTATTTGATAGTCACCACGTTTTTTGTAGATTGGGGTTTATTGGATTTGATTATTTTTTGGGCAAACTATCAATAATATTGAAACAGAAACAGAGTTACACTCCCACGGGGATTTGATTAAATATACGATTTTTATCATTACAAACCGTTAGATAAATTTCAGTGCAATCGTTTTTGTTCATGTGGGCGTTTGGATCTATTTCTTTTATTTTCCAGATTTTAATTAGATTGGGGTTTATTGGATTTGATTGAGAAACATGATTTTGACAAACTGAAAACAAAATTAGTAAACCGAATAAAAGAAATTTATGATGTGATTGATAAGTTGATGATGTTTTAATACAGACCTCACCTCCGTTTTTTCTAAAGTACGAGAAGATGAAACAGGTATAGTTATATCTCACCATTGTAGGTTTTCTGTTTCTGATTTATTAGAATCCTCTCAAATTCTTTACTTTTTGTGCAGATTTCAGATGATAGTCTTTATGATTCACCCCTTTCTGGTATTCTTTTTGCTTATCCTCTTATTAATTAAAATTATTTGATTATTGTAAATTTGTGCGAGAACCTAATTTTATTTATTTCATTTGATTCCCAGAACCTCCAAATTTAAATAATTGGTTTTCGAGCTACGTCTATGAATCGCCAATGCTGGATACAAGTGATGATCTTGGATTGTTTGTTTTTGGAAAAGATGAATGTATAGAAGAGACGATAATCGAGAAAGAGATCACAAATTTTGAAAGTACAATCGATGTTGATGAGGATCTTGATCAGTTAA